GGGGGGGGGGGGGGGGGGGGGGGGGGGGGGGGGGGGGGGATCTGAATGGAAACACGCGCACTCACGCAGCGGTACTTCGAATATGTTGTGTTTCGGTCTGTTTCGTTCCTTGTTTTCGAAAGACGCACGACGACACAACTCCATTAACCAGTCGGATTTCACCGGAGTACAAAAGGGATACATGCCCGTGCGGGCCCCAACGGGGCATCCTGACGGCCGCAGCTGCTGCTGCGTGCGTGTGCGCCGTATTAATCTTACGTGACTTAGTTTGTCTTTCGATGTTCGATGTGTGTGTGTATGGCGGCGCAACACTACAGGACACTGCTGTAGGGGATAAAGTAACCGTTTTCAGTTCAAATATGGACGCACGCCATTTGCAATTACTTCATCTGTACTGCGTGTTGCACCAGAGTTCAAATTGCAGTAGAACCGCAAGCCTCACAGCAAGCCCGTCCTGTGTCTCATACCACGAGTAGCGCGTCCAAAGATAAGCACGCCTGATCCGCGCAATACCTCTTTTTCCAAGCGACAAGTACCTCTCTCGTCTCGGAAGCACTTCTGGGCACAATACTCGATATGTGTACTCCTCGTGTCATTGTTCGTAATTGTGTAAAGTTTCGTGTCGATCGGTTAGGTATAGGGCGCGTTCTCGTGTTAAGCTTGCCGCGCTTGCACACCACAGGAGGTTCGGCCGCAGCAGGGGCATGGATCGCATTTTTTCGGCAGAGTCTCGGAGCCTGCGCCGAGCAGTTCTCGCGCTATAGTCAACGAAATTCCGTGAAACCAGCTTTCCTGAATAGCTTCTAGTCTATTTTACTGCTGTACGCCGACAAAGGTGGCAGTGCGGACGTCTGATCCCCGGTGGGCCAGCCAACTGCCATTTTTTGTGTTGAGCCGCTTATTTTTTTTTTATCAGGCGTGCAGCACTGTTGTTGTTGTTGTTGTTGTTGTTGTTGTTGTCTTCACATAGCAGCACTGCATCATCATGATGTATCGTCAAAAGAGGTGCATACCAGCGTGATGCTGCCATCCACGGCCCCCCCGCCGGCTCTTTCCGGGCTCTTTGCTCCTTTCCCCGTTGGCAGACACGCGTTGCACTACTGTCTACCCTGTCTTGTTGTACCCAAGTGACTGCTGTTGTGCCCAACGAGAGAGAGGCAGGCCTCTTGTTGTGCGCCCCCTTCTTTCTGCCGTCTTTCCAGAGAGAAATATGGGGAAGTCAGGGCGGACGCTGTTGGTGGCGCTCCTTGCGCTGCTGGTGTCGCCGGATGTGCTGGGCTTCAGCTTGAGCCCGGCGGGAGCGCGCAGATCAAGGCAGCAGCACCAACGGGCACCTAGGGGGAAGAGGTTGTCAGCGGCGAGGACCTTGAACATGGCGGCAGACCCGCGCTTCGACAGGTGAGCTCGGCCTTCTCCGCACGCCGGGTCGCGGTGTTTTTGCATGAGTACGACCATGTGGGGAGTTTGTATGTGTCGACACCCCGGCCGCACGATTTCACGAGGAGAGCGTTCATGTGTCCGCTTGCATTCGCCCGGGGGTGTTGTGCTGGTGTGGTTGCGCCCTCCTGAGTATCCCGACTGTCCTGCGTGCTGCGTGCGTCAAACAAGCGGGCGTCTGTCCCGAGGCAAGGCATGTACGGTTTTGCTTCGCACATTTCTGTTGATTGTCTATTTCAACAACACTCGACTGCCATGTAATCAATCGCCTTGCAGCCTTCGCGCTCCTACGCACCGCTCGAGCACCATATGGTAGCGATCTGTTTACATTGCAGACGCATGTTACAACTTGGGGCAACTGTAACTAAATCACTAAGATTTGTCATCGTTTCGGGTTTACCCGCTTTCTGCCTACTCACAGCATCAGTGACCCCCATCGCAACCCGCCTCTCCTTTGAACAGCAAGCACATGTACACACAACGGCAAAATGTGAAAGTATCTACAACTCAACGTAGCACGGGTAGCCTGTATCAAGGGCTGCTGCGTTGATCGCGTTAAGTACATGCGACACGCCGATAGACAATTCGAGCGCGCGAACGGGGATGGTTGATTTGCTCTCGAATGTTAGCTAAAAAAAAGGCCGGTTGCGGCGACAACAGAGGCGTAGTCATGCCCCATCTCCCCCCCCCCCCCAAAAAAAAAAGATGTCTCAATCCGCTTGGTGTGTGTGTTGGGACACGCATTCTTAACTCTGAAAGGTCTCTCTGCGTACACATAGCCGACCACAAGCACCATCAAAACGCGTGCGGGTAGACAGCCAGTGGGGGTGTTGCAGAGAGCAGAGAGGGATACTGACGCTGGACCGCAGGCTTTTGTGTACCACAGCGTGTGATGGGTTCGTTCCTGGGATCTTACTTTCGCACTGGGAGTTGCGATTTGACCTTGACGGTTATGAAACCCTACACCCCAGCAGGCTCGAGGTGTTCATGCGCCGTCGCTCACGAGTTTGTACACACCCTATGTAGACGGCGTTGCTTCTCTTGCTTGAAATCTCCGATCCGTTCTTAACTGACGGCCTGGTTTTTTGTCGTTCTAGTTGCACCTATGTTGAACACCCGATTTCAATGACCCTTGGGACTGCTGTCTCGCGGCAAGCGACCGACCGTTGGCTTCGGGTAGCAACTTCTACAGCAATCCACCTAGCGCAAAAAATTGGCACGCTCACAGAAATAATTCCCAGCTGCGGGCGGTGGGCGATGTGGGTGCCGCACGGCCATCGTGTCAACCGCATGGGGTCCAGCCAGCGGTAGTGCCAACAAGGCGAGGTCAGTTCATGGGAGGTGAGAAAGGGGCGTAGTCCCAACTCCGGCACAGCGACAGTGCCCAAGACATTTTTCTCCGCGCGACACCGAAGTTCCACTTTTCCGGGCAGCAAAAAACTTCATCGTCGTGTCTTCCCTGGTTTACTCGCTGTGTTTGGCTCCCGGTACCCCCCCCCGAAACGAAAGCCTCGTCGATCGCGTGGAAACCGCGGCGAAGGCCCCAGTAGAATCCGTCCCCGTTTTCAAGAGCCAGGAGGCGGACGCGCCCGCCACGATCGCGGAGGTTAAGGAGCAAGTGGCCCCCGCAGCAACGAAGGTGACTGCCGACGGTGCCTGTTCGTAGTCGAACCCTTGCTGTTGTGATTGTTTTCACCGTAGCTCGTTTTTTATTCACGCAGAGAGACAGAGATAGAGACGGAGACAGAGACAGAGGACTCCCGACGGTTCGTCGCACACCCTGTTGGTTGGCGGGTAGTTTCCAGTTATTCAAGCGGTTTCTAGTGCGACTGCCTCTTTTTCGAAGCACGGGTGCAATCGTGTGGACAAACCTGTGCATTCTCGGTCGAAACATCGACCGCTGTTCTCGGGCAACATAGATTTTTTCTTCAAAAACTGATGATCGAAAGCAAGAACCGCGCGGGTAATCGGTGGCCAAAATTGTTTGCCCCCACACAATCCTTCTACCGTTTTTTTTGTTGGACGATTTGCGACAACTGCTGCGCGCGCGGTGTCTGGTCCAGGTCGTCGCGGAGCAGCGACCCCCCTCAGTGCTGGCGGCGGGTAGCGGCCAGGCCTACGACAGCGCCGTGTCCGTCGGGTCGGTGGGGCTGCAGGTGGTGGAGGGCCTCGCGGTGCTGGCCGCCGTCCCTGCCATCCTCACCGCTCGTGAGTTGTTGTTGCCACCTAAAAGGCGTTTTGCGACTTTCGGTTTTTGTGTGTTTGTTTGGTGGCGTTGGTGGGTGCCGTCGCGTGTTGTGAATGGTGTAGACTTTTTGTTTGGCCGCTCGTTTTTTGTCGCGACGGCTGTTGTCTTCGTCGGTCTTGTGGGCTGCAGGCGGGCGGGTTTTTCTCTGGTACTCGTATCTGGCTGATGGGGGTCACGTGTTGGTATGGTGCCAGAAATGGGGGTAGTGAAGCGTTTGCCGCGGGTGGGCCTTGCTGTTGTCGCGTCTGTAGGCGAAGCGAGCGCTGCCGCTCAAGCCAGAGCAGTTGTAGGACCGGCGACTAACAAACGCTGCCTACCGTCATGAACAATTTCACCCACAACCTTCTCTCAGCGCATGTAGCTCAACCCGACCCACTCCTAGCCGCGCCGCACCGCACCCAACCCAGCCCTGCTCCACATCAGCACCATCCGCGCACCTAATCAACGAAAACTCTCGCGCAGTTAACAAGACCTAACCGCTCCGTGCCGTCTGCAAATCACCCTAAACTCTCGCGAAGTGAACAAGCAGAAGGCGACCCAAGAGCGCAAGGAGAAGAACCAGGCAAGGGCCGACGAGCTCGCCAAGGGCCGTCAGGCCAGGGCAGATGCCAAGGCGGCCGCTCTCGCCCAGGCCGCCATTGACCGCAAGGAAAAGCAGGAGGGCATCGCCCAACGCATCGAGGTTGGTTTTGAGTTTTGCTTCGCACATGTTCGAGACGGTGGTGATAGCTGCTGTGTGAAGCGGACTTGAAGTGGACGTGTTGCCACTTGAGACAAGACACATGCCTGAGACGGGGCTGCGCGCAAGTGGGCGAAGGAGAGGCAACACCAGATAATATTTTTTGCTGTGCAATGACCGAACCTGCTCAAATATTTTTGCGCCTCGCTTCAAGACCTTTAGCAGGGTAGCATGCTGTGTTTTTTTTAACAGAATATGTCTGCTCTCATCTTCCCGCCCACCCACCCCTCCCCCCTTTAGTCATTGTGTTTTTTGGCGTTGTGTGGCATGCCTTGCGTTCTCGCTTTCTCTGCACCAAATGGACCATGGAAGGGTTGGCGGAGGAAACAAGGCATGGGAGTGGGTATCAAGGATCATCCTCCAGATCGTTCCCCTCGATATGCGCATGCATTATTCGGCGCGCTTCTGGCGCCGTCGGCTTTTTGCCAACTCTCGCCCGCTGCCTGGCGCGCTCTCCCGTTACGTTCCTTATCCCGTTAACGTTCCTTGTCCCCGGCCGTTCCGTTCCTGTCCTCCAACTTATCGTTCTGTCGCTGCTGCCACCGGTACAAACAGGCGGCGCGCATCGAAGAAGAGCGGCAGGAATCGGTCAGGCAGATGGTCATGGAAGCCCAGGTGCGTTTACAACGGGTTGCGGCCACGTCGGCAGTACGGCCCAGGTAACTCCAGCGCGCCTTCGGAATCATATTTTTGCCGAGATTTTTTTTTCCGTACATGGCAGGCGCTAGTGCTGTGCATGACGCGGATTGTATGTGGTATCATGAATGTTCCGCGACACGCTGGATTATTGTTCAACACATGCTCTTGTGGAGTCTTGCTTCCGTTAACTGTACATGACGCGGAACGTTGTGGTGGCATCATGAGTGCTCGCCGACGCGATGGATTATTTTCTAGATGTGCGTGCTCTGTGGGCCTTAGCGCCGCTGCTGCTGCTGTTGCTAAGTGGCTGTTGTACTTGTTTTGGTCTTACGTCGCTGCCGGTTCTTTTGCTAACGCTGCTGCACCTGTTTTTTCCTTTATGCTGCATGCTTGCCGCGTGATGGATGATGGATGGTTTTCCGCCAGGTGAAGAAGCAGGCTGAGGAGGCAGCCGCTGCTAAGGTTGCCGCCGAGGAAGCGGCTGCCGAGAAGGCGGCGTCGGATGCTAGGTCAGTCAACCCGTTTCCGGCTCCCGTTGGACCATTTTACACGTGTCTCTTTGTTGCTAGCCTCGAAAGCGCTAACCGGCTGATGAATGAAGATTCGTCATTGCCAGTGGGTGAATATGAAGGTCCTGGAGGGGGGCCAAATTTCGTGTTTGTGTTTTGTCTGGCGCCGGTCTACGCACCTCTCAGTATACCGTACGTGTTTGGCGCACATATCGGCCGAGGTCACAGCGGTCGAGGGCTATGTGTATATCGATGTTGGCTGCATTTTTAGGGATGCGGCTTGAGTCTTCTCGCGTTCGACACACAGGAGAAAGGAACGGGTGGCCCAACCGCATGCATATTTTTTCGCTGAGAGGGCTGTGCCTCCACTCTATCCCGGAGTCAAGGATTTTCAAAACCCCGCCAATTCACTGCAGTCTTGGCAAGACCGCCGAAATTGACCGACACAACGCTTCCTCTACTTCGATAGGAGGGAGGCTAGCAGGAAGGAGCGCGAGATCAGGATGGCGGCAAAGGCCGCTGAGGAAGCCAAGGCTGCCGAGGAAGCCAAGGCTGCCGAGGAAGCTAAGGCTGCCGAGGAAGCTAAGGCTGCTGAGGAAGCCAAGGCTGCCGAGGAAGCCAAGGCTGCCGAGGAAGCCAAGGCTGTCGAGGAAGCCAAGGCTGTCGAGGAAGCCAAGGCTGCCGAGGAAGCTAAGGCTGCCGAGGAAGCTAAGGCTGCTGAGGAAGCCAAGGCTGCCGAGGAAGCCAAGGCTGCCGAGGAAGCCAAGGCTGTCGAGGAAGCCAAGGCTGTCGAGGAAGCCAAGGCTGCCGAGGAAGCTAAGGCTGCCGAGGAAGCTAAGGCTGCTGAGGAAGCCAAGGCTGCCGAGGAAGCCAAGGCTGCCGAGGAAGCCAAGGCTGTCGAGGAAGCCAAGGCTGTCGAGGAAGCCAAGGCTGCCGAGAAAGCCAAGGCTGCCGAGGAAGCCAAGGCTGCCGAGGAAGCAAAGGCTGCTGCGGATGCAAAGGCTGCTGCGGATGCAAAGGCTGCTGAAGAAGCTGCAGCCAAGGCCGCCGAGGAAGCGAAGGCCGCTGCGGAAGCAAAGGCTGCTGCGGACGCAAAGGCTGCTGAAGATGCCAAGGCTGCTGAGGAAGCCGAGGCCGCCGCGGAAGCCAAGGCTATATCTATTCAGCTAGCTCAGGCTGAGAAAGCCAAGGCCGCCAAGGCTGCCGAAGCCAAGGCTGCCGAGGAAGCTAAGGAAGCTGAAGCCAAGGCTGAGGAAGCCAAGGCCGCCAAGGCTGCTGAGGAAGCCGAGGCCGCCGCGGAAGCCAAGGCTATATCTATTCAGCTAGCTCAGGCTGAGAAAGCCAAGGCCGCCAAGGCTGCCGAAGCCAAGGCTGCCGAGGAAGCTAAGGAAGCTGAAGCCAAGGCTGAGGAAGCCAAGGCCGCCAAGGCTGCTGAGGAAGCCGAGGCCGCCGCGGAAGCCAAGGCTATATCTATTCAGCTAGCTCAGGCTGAGAAAGCCAAGGCCGCCAAGGCTGCCGAAGCCAAGGCTGCCGAGGAAGCTAAGGAAGCTGAAGCCAAGGCTATCTCTCGTCAGTTAGCCCAGGCTGAGGAAGCCAAGGCCGCCAAGGCTGCTGAGGAAGCCGAGGCCGCCGCGGAAGCCAAGGCTATATCTATTCAGCTAGCTCAGGCTGAGGAAGCCAAGGCCGCCAAGGCTGCCGAAGCCAAGGCTGAGGAAGAAGCCAAGGAAGCTGAAGCCAAGGCTATCTCTCGTCAGTTAGCCCAGGCTGAGGAAGCCAAGGCCGCCAAGGCTGCCGAAGCCAAGGCTGAGGAAGAAGCCAAGGAAGCTGAAGCCAAGGCTATCTCTCGTCAGTTAGCCCAGGCTGAGGAAGCCAAGGCCGCTAAGGCTGCCGAAGCCAAGGCTGAGGAAGAAGCTAAGGAAGCTGAAGCCAAGGCTGAGGAAGCCAAGGCCGCCGCGGAAGCCAAGGCTGCTGCGGACGCCAAGGCTGCCGAAGAAGCTAAGGCTGCCGTGGAGCTAAAGGCGAAGCAGGAGGTGGGCACGTTTGTTCTCGTTTTGGTGGCGGAGACTTCCCTCGCTTCATGGTGTCCACAGGAAGCCAACTACTCGTTTCGGCGCGGGGGGTTAACAAGTGGGAGGGCTTCGCAACTCCACGGCAACCCCACACACCTGCCTCAGATATTTGTCTTCATTTGTTTTATAACAGCTGATTGTGTCGAGCAGATCACGCCCGTCAATGCTGGGCATTGTTTTCAACTACTCGTCTCGCACATTGTTTCGAGCGCTAACTGCGGTCGCAATCAACACCCCGTCACCGCAGCCACCCAAGATACTGTACTGCCTTTTATTTATGTGTTTTTTTCCTGTGTTGTTTGATTCCTGGTGCTGCGGTCTCAATCGACAGAATGTTCATCGAAGGCACCGCTCTTGTGTTCATGTGTATGGCGACTTTTTACTTTCCTGTGAGTACGTTACTTGTTGACAGTTCGCCCTGAACATCCCATGGTTGGTTGGTTTGCCATTTTCAGGCCCAGGAGAAGGAGGCCAAGATCGCTGCCGAGACCATGGCCGCCAAGGTTGAGAACGAACAGGAAGCGCCGGTAAGACCAAGCATGCCTCATCGGGGGGTCGCCACGAGATGCCCAGAGGACCGGCTTTGCGAAGATTTTTATTATTAGTCTGTTAAATAGAGATTGGGGGTTTCGTATCCCAAAACCCTAATTCACACCGACACTTCCTACAAAAACCAAGCTTAATACCCTCGCGAAGGGTGCAGTGCCCAGAAGGAGGCGGGTGCGATAGGCGAGTCATTTTTTGTGCAAAGCACGAAAGCGGTGCTCCTTCCGAGAAGTAGGCAAAGCGGTGATGATGCGGCAGTAGTCTTCGCGAGGGCGATTAGCTTGGTTTTGGTTGGGGTTTAGGGATAGGGATCCGAAATTCCCCTCTCTATTTTATAGATTCACAGTATTATCTTCATGAAGGCGGCCTGACGGTGTGTTTCGACAGGGGGTGCATATTGGGTCGTCAAAAGACCAGGATACGCACAGATAACGCCCGCCGCCCTATCTCCGGCCAAACGTGACCCTGGCAAGTGTCGTTTCGTCGTCGTCCCTCTTTCATAGTGCGGTACTGCATTGCTGAGAGTCTGACGCTTTTCTCGCTTCTTTACCACTCCAAGAGGCACAGATGAATATTTTCGGCTCGAACAAATTGTGCGCCGAAGGCCGATGCATGCCGTTGGCCGTTGCCTTTGGTCCCCCCCCTCCCCTGATGTGAGAGCCTGGTCCGGTGAGAACCCGGCGTGCTCCGTAGGCCAGAAGATTTTGGAATGAACTTTTTAAACTTTTTGTGCGAGGTCAATGGTCTAACGACTACGGCATGCACGACTATGAGCACATCCCTCCCCTCCTTTGTAGGGTTGGGAGGTCAATGGTCTAACGACTACGGCATGCACGACTATGAGTACCCCCCCCCCCCCCTCCCCTTCGGCGTGGTCCTCTCCTTGCCAGGGGGCTGCTGGCTTGACGGCGAGGAAGCTGCGCGCGCAGCAGAACGCCCGCACCGCAGCCGAAGCCGAGGCCAAGTCGGCGGCCTCCGCACCCAAGCACCCCCAGGGCGCCTGGAGTAACGCGGCGGCGGCGGCGGCGGCGGCGGGGGACGGCGCTAAGGCGGAGGACGGCGGGAGCGCGGGCGGGGCGGCGGTGGAGGTGGCGCCTTTGCCGGTGCGTGCTCCGTCTGGGCCTGTCGCCCCTCCTTCGTGAACGCTGTCTTTCTCCTGTCCGGTGTTTTTCGTTAGTCGCCCCCCCCTCCGACGCGCTGTCTGTGCTTTTCCGGGAGTGATACTCGGCTGGCTTGCGGGGGGCGGATGAGGGGGTATTTTTTAGTGTTGGGGGGTGGCACCAGCCGTCTGCTTGAGGCGCCCTAGAAGCTGCAACCTTGTGCTTTGTTGTCATGCGAACGCCTGCTCGTTCCAGTCGGTTTTGCGTGCGTGCTTGTTAAATCTGGAAACAACGACGCCACTACCTTAGAGCACGGAGGTGCAGTGTAGTTCCGCGGAAGCTCGATCGGAGAATAGTCATGGTTGTTTTGGCGCACATGGTTGCTTGAGTGGGCAGGAGGAATGAAGAGGTGACGATGTGTGTTATATTCTATCTCGACTGGTTCACCTTGTAATATATCTATGGGCACATTCTTATACGTGGAGTACTTCGATGCGTTGGTAGTTCTTGATGCTGCGGTTCGTGACGCAGCTCACCCTTGTTTAATATCAATGCACACACATTTGCACGTGGAGTGCTACAACGCGCTATTGTATAATAGCGTTTTTTTGTGCTGCGGTTCTTGGCAGGGGTCTCTTGGTGGCGATGAGGAAGTCCGGAGTGCCATACACGAACACAGCATGTCGTTATTTGCAGGGCTTGCGCCGACACCCCCTCCTCGTTTCACGGAATGTCTATCGTTGGGGGACTTGATTCTATTGCCGTGAGTGGCATAAGATATCACTCACATTCCCCGAACCGGTTTTCACAGCTCGATTACTCCACGACGAATTGGATGTGTTAAACGAAATGATGCGTTTTCGGAGAGCTCTCGACGAGACGGTTCTATCGCCGCCGTTTTCGACGCAGCCACTCTTTCTGCCGTGGATAAGTCGAGCTTAAACAATCGCTCCAGTGGGTATGATATCTTGTGTCACCTGCGGTGATAGTCTGGCCCGGGGGAGGATTGTACGCTTCTCGATGAACCGAGCTCCTGTCGGCCCTGCACTACCCTACGACCACAAGTCTCGGTCGCCCCTCCACCCCGTGCTACCAATTCAAATAAGTAGACAGAGGGCACTCATGTTGTGTAGCACCAGGGTGCGCAGCGCAATCTGCAGCAGCAGCAGCTGTCAGTCTCATGGTCGCTGGCGACACTCCTCGTATTGCCGTGTGTCAAATCCCTTCAATGCGTGCAACAAACATCCTTCAGATTACGTGTACTAGCATCTCAAGAGTGCGTGACATGCGAATGTATTTAGTGCTGCACGCGGGCCGATCTCTCTTCGCGCCCATTTGAATGAGACCAGCCTAGATACCACGGCAGCTTTCGCTTGTGTTTTTTTAAGGAGAGGAAGTATACCGCAAAAACCACGCCCGAGAAAAGTCGCGGGACGGGACGATTGGACCGGCCCCGTAGGTTGAGAGTGGAAAATGGATTACCGTGCAGATATCGCTGTGTGATACCCGGCGGTGCTGGACTAGGCTAGCGCATGGTGAACAGCTGGCATACTTTTCGTGAGACACAAGCCTCGAGAAGGAGTTTCCCGTTCGTAGTTGTCGGCACGCCACCGCCGTACAGCTAGCGATGATTTGACGGCGAGAGCGATTTCTCTCCCGTGTACTTCGACGACCGATTGTTATTTTTATGTGCCTCTGGTTCCTGTCGAGTTTGTTTGCTCGATCCACCTTTCGGTATTTCCGCGGAAAAACCTTTCTTCTACGGGCCGGAGTGGAATTGCGGTGCCTAAACTGGAACTGGAAGCTGTAGAGGTTTATCTTCTTTTTCCTCAACACCCATCGGTCCTCCAACATAGCTTGTTTTTTACCGGCGTGATGCATGATGCCGTGGGTGTAGCGGTCCGATGCTTGCCGTCTCGCTATTTCTCTCTTCGCGAAGACGCTCTTGCCCCCTCCTCCTGCACCCCGCGCGCGAGTCAGCCCGCCTTGGCTAACGCTTACCTTGCTTTCTCGTCTGCTCTTTCCGTGTGTGTTGTCGGCTGGGTTGCACTGTTCCTCCCCCCGCCCGTTCTGTGTTGCAGGAGGATGACGGGCAGAAGGTCAGGCGCGAGAAGGCCCTTCGTCTCGCCAAAGCAGGTCTGTTCGTAGGTGCGAATGAAAAAGAGGGCCAATCCTCTTCGGCAACGTTGCTGTCTCGTGTTCTTCCGGGTAGGGGTAGTTTTTGTGTGGTTGCTGCTGCAGGTGTGGGCGGTAAGAATGGCAGTGTGGGGTCATGTCGTCCCCCAAACGTACGTAATTTTTGGCAGCGAGAATGTGAAATCCGACAGAGAACGCCGTGAAAAAGCGGGTTCCCGCCCAACACTTGCTACCGCAGAGCTCCGTTTGCAGCCGAGTATCACGTGCAACTCCGGAGAAGGGGCGGTGGGGCGCTGGTGTTCCAGCTAGCCGGGTAGATGGACGGTTCGCATTGGTGAGCTTTTGGGTGCGTAGCTGTATTGTTGGGGGTGTCGTTCAACAACGCGCTTGCCCTGGCCTCATCCTCTCCTCTGCTCGACTTGGACATTGCAGCACCGGCACTGGCCCAGGCGAAGCGTAACAACGTTGCGAAGCAGAGGATATTGGGGTTGCTCAACAAGGTAGGTCATAATGAGGTAGACAACTTGGAAATGGCCCCTTGCTGTTTTGTTGAGTTTTATGGTGGTGAACGTTGGTTGTCGTTGCTGCCGGCTGTTGCAGAGGCAGCCTGCATCTTGTCTCTTGCCAAAAGCGTCCTCCTGTGTTGCACGCGTGTGCATAGCTAATCGAGGCCTTCCTTTCGCCTCTCTCGAGTGCCAGTTGTACATAGCTGGTACGTTACGTTACCCTTTCATTTTTTCTTTCGGCGGGTGTGGGAAGCGTCCTCCTTTATTTATTTTTTTTGTTATTTTTGTTTTGTTTTATTTTGATCGGTGTCCGAGGGCTCTTTTCTCGAACAGTAGGTGCGATACCTGTTCTTTTCTTTCTTTCGATCATTTTGTTTTCTTTTTCCGAGTGGTTTGTATCCTATTTTTGTTTTTTGTTTTCTCGCGGCGTCGTATGTGCCGGGTTTTGAGACCACGGGCTCCCCATTTTTTGTGGACTATAGAGCTAATGTGAGAAACAACAACAACAACAACAATAGACGAGGACGAGTAATAGGAAGACAGGTGCGACTATTACGTGGTTTCGGCGATGTGCTCCTACGAATGTATAATTGCGATTATTTCGGTTTCAGCGTGTGCATGCCTACATCGGCACAATTTTTACAAGCGTCTGCCGCAAGCGGCTCAGGGGGAACACAAGGACCAACATATCACATTCTCAACGGCACACCAACGAAGCTCCCATGTCAATATTTTGGTTTGGGATTAGGATCCTTCGTGGGTGTTGGAGGCGAAAAAAAAAAAAGCCGGATATCTGCAGCGTTTCCACGCTCGGTGGTCTGCAGTACCTCCAGAGAGAACGCAAGAATCAACGCTGCAGGCTCGCGAACACTGTGTACAAAGGTGCCTAAATTACGCGACCACATACTGCTGCTGTATGCCCTCCCTAGTTATTTCGGGGCTGATTGTTTGTTTCTCGTTGTTTTGTTGTACTTTTAAACAAGCAGATGGACAGCAAGACCCTCGCGGCGTTCGGCAGCGAGGTCGGGGTTGAGAACGGGCCGGCAGACTTCACCGCGCTCCGGACGACCATCATCAAGAAGCTCGAGGAGAGGGAGGGGACATGGGCCGAGATCGCGCCCGACGTGGCCACCATCGCGAGCAAGTTCGCCAAGCCAGCGTAGAGCTGGCCAGGGCGAAGAAGACGACAAGGGGGGGAGGGGGCGTGCTCATAACCGTGCATGCCGTAGTCGCTAGACCTTGCATCCCTACAAAACCGGGACGGAGCGTGCTGGGTTTCTCACCAGACCAGTCTCTCATATCACCAAGCGCGAAGCTCGATGAGATTTGCCGACAAGGGAGAAGTCAAAAAGGCTTCCTTGGCTGGCGTAAGCATTTTTATTTGTTTGACGGGTGGTGGGCAGTGTGGCGTGGAACAACAGCAGTGCAGCAAAGGGGAGTCTGCTCTAGCCAGGCCGATCGCAAGCAGGTCTCTTGCGAGTTCTTCGTAGAGCCAACCGGCTGCCGATGATGAGAAATCGGCTGCCGATGATGAGAAATCGGCTGCCGATGATGAGAAATCGGCTGCCGATGATGAGAAATCGGCTGCCGATGATGAGAATGTGTTGGTCGTAAAGCTTCTCCCCTCCCCCGGAAAATAGGGTTAGGGTCTTCCTAAATGCGTGACAGGTGGCGGTTATCACGTCTGCTTCTAGAAGGGCGAAACAATTATTGTCGTGAAATTTTGATGTTCCCGAGTTAGTTAAACGACGAGTAGGAGGGAGGGGAGCGCCACGACATTGGGAAAGCATCGGGTGAGGGGCGGACTATTTCTGTTTTTTTTTGTGTGTAAGTTTGACATGCTTTTGAGTCCACGGGCTCTGCTGGGAAGCAATCAGTGCTTCATCCCTTCTTTGCTCGTCGTTGTACTGGAAGCTTTCCCTGCCCCCCCCACCCGAGGTTTAGCAGCGGTTACCGCGCGTAAGTAGAGAGGCCGGCTGCTGAGGAAGGGACTATTCATTTCGTTTGTGTTGGAGGTGCCGGTCCATCGATGAGGGGTGTGCTTCTGTTTCATGTCCCTCGCGGGGGACACGCGTAGGGACGAGCCTCTTTTCGGCCGCCGTGGTGCCAAGGTTGAGCAATCAGGGAGATGATGGAAATCACGCGCACGAAAAGGGAATGGTGGTGAAAGAACAACCCCATCGTCCCTGCGGACACGTTTTTTTTGTCGGTGCTCGCCAACCGAGTCATGTCGAGTGTTGGTAGAATTATCCCGCCCGCTGCTTGCGGGATCGCAACGGCTTCGCCTTGTCTGTTGCGCGGGCGTCATGATCTTGTCTTCTTCCATCTCGTGTGTTGCAAGGTGCAGTCATGGTGTTGATGGCATTCTGCCTCTTCCCGATCCACGAGCGTTTTCCCTTTTGGGTGTTGCGATAAGAGTCTAGATTGTGGGGTTACGAAACGAACGTTGGAGTTTGTGGGTGATGATGGCGAGGAAAAACCGTTTTGTGTAGTGGTGACGAGGCATGCATGCGGTATAGGTTCCACCAACCGGTCAATATATTTATGTTTTTAGAGATTACACGCTGCTGGATGTTGTTCGTGGTCGAGGGCGGGGATAATAAGAAATATGTTTTGCTCCTTCAGATTTAGTTTCAGTTGTTTTTTGTGCCGCACATCTGAAACAAACTATCAAAACGAAAAAAATCATCACTGGCTTTTCATTGTGCGCTCGCTCGGGAGGTAGTCGATGCGGATTTTGATTCAGGTCAGGAGAAGGGCGACGATCTCCGTCATCTCCGGCAAAGAAATGGCTGTGTCTGGATCCGCTTGCAGCTCCTCCAACAGTGCGTGCACCTGCGCCCCGATCCGCATCATCCACCCGTGATGGCGATCACAACCGACAAGACGCATGTAGGCAGGGCACGAGAAGGGGGGGAGGGTACTCTCATATTCTGCAAGCCTTAGCGGTTCGGATATTGACCACGCGTTCTCGAGAGGACGGAGCGTTGTCCCCACTTGACCGATCGCCGATGGCCAATCGGTCCTTCCTACTTTGCCAAAGGTGGCCTAATATACGTTTTCCCTAGCCCATCTATCCTACCGATATCACTTCCCGATGTTGACCCACTTTCTATGCCCCAGTACAGCTACATCGGGGGGGTGGGATGAATTGGCGGCGGTCCGTTCGTGATGAACGTCATTCGCCGGGAAAACACAACGTGATACGCCAAGTGACGGTGATCGAAAAATGCTACAATTAACAGCAGCATGAAATTCAAAGACCCCCTTGGGAGATGAACTACGTGTTACCACAAATATGTACATCTGTTTGTTTGTACCGTGTATGCGTGGGTGCAAGGAGACCGTTCACTAACAACGATATGTTCTTTGAAGCCATCACCAAGATCGACTGATGCAAACACTCAACGCTTCGAAACACTACGTAGACTTCCGACACAACAAGTCGAACGAAGGTGACGCGCTACGGGTATGAACCGATGGGCCTGCTTGTGCTTGTATTGTAACACATTTCTTTCCGAGATGGCGACGTACTGCCGAAACGAACGTGACGTGGAACCATCTATTTGTGTGAAGAGTTTATTCACTTGTGAAGGACTGCATTTTAAGGGGGCAGCTTGAGTTGGGACTTCGAAACCTCGCTCACATTCCGTGGAAAAGAGTGCGTGTCAAGCTGTAGCGAAGTCACGTGTGAGAGCAACAAAAATCGGCAGCAGAGCAACGTGAAAGAGACGGAATGGCAACAGCAACAATCATCGGTCGATAACGCATTATAACATGCTGGCAGCATTTTGAGAGAACAAATTTATCTGAAAAATAGATTGACCACGCACCTCTTCGGGTTCGATATCAGTAATCCCGGCGTGCTCCAAAATGTCGACGAGAGCCGAGACAGAGACCAGGCCCTCTCCGGACTGATCGAACGTCGCGAAGCTCTCGCGGAGGGTGTCCTATTTTACGTTTGTTTCCGCCATAAAGGCAACGCACAACCGAGCGTGTTGCGAAATACCACGCAATGAGGGAACAAATAGGCACAAGGGTAAAGAAGACGTTAGAGTGTACCTTTCTTTTGCCTGGGCTAACCAAGGCAGGTCAACACGCGACAAGCATGACGCGCGTGTTAGCACACATCTAGCATCGGCAGACATTCCACCTTTTGGTTTTCGCCAACAACTCCTCCCTCGCAGCTTCGCCTTCCTCAACCAACCGAGGAGACAATACTTCAGGTTCGGGGGATAGCCCGGGAGCACACCAGTGCTGTTGCTATCCTAGAACATATCATCCTCTGTCAGCGCACTCCACCGAACTGCGACTAACTACGCACCGTCAATGCAATGTTCACCCATGAAAAATCATTTGATATCAGATGCAATAACAGCAGTGTCACCGTAACGTTTTTTACCATCTCATCGGAAGTGAACACCCTGCCAGGCTGGCCGTGGCGTTTCGCCCGCTCGTTTCGGATTACCGCCACAGTTTCGTTCAGCACGGCGCTGGAGCGCTTGAGGGTCAGCTCCGGCAGCGGGAAGCTGCCGTCCGGTACGGAGCGGTCCACCAGCGCCTGGTCAAATCGTACGGTAGCCTTGGTTAAAGCATGAAAAGCACGAGGAGATGAACTCCCCCTCCATTCTCTCGGATAAGAGATGTGGGGCAAGCCGGCAGTTAACCCAATGATGAGGATCGTTGAGAAACAACCAGCGCTGTTATTGCTACAGAAGTTGTCCTCGCACGAGATGCATTAGTGGCGATCGATATTCTTCCCTGTGCGACTCTGATTCCTTGTCTTGTGGTACGATCAAAGTTCATGAGGTTTTGGGGGCAAAATCATCGGCCGTTGTGTTGATCTAAGAGGTTTTTCGAGCATACTGTAACCTTAGGGTAAACAAAGTATTTCGACCAAATGCCTTGTTCGTGCCATTATTGCTACTGCGGTTTTGTTTTGCCTTACCGCGGGCATGTCTTGATATTCCCCGCACTTTGGCGTCCCATCCACCCACTCCCCCTCGTAGACTTTGCGGGTCGACATGTACAGATATCGTCCTGCGGAAAAAAGCAAAAATTTGACACAGCCAAGCGCCGGCGTTGTCCGAAGCACGTGGTTGCTTGTTTCTTCGGAATTGACATATGGTCAGTGTTGTCATTGATTCGCGCTGCTTCCTTCTTCATGATACATCAGGTCGTTGTCATGTATTTGCCATTTTCATCGGACAATCGATTATCACGCGCTCTTACACCAAGGACGTTGAAGATGATTTCCGAGGTTCAGCTCACTTCTAAACATCACAGACAAGAAGACAGGCAACCATGCCCGAGGGATACGCCACGTGCCATTTCAGGCATGGCCTGTGTTTCGAGCATGAACGCCGTGAGGCTGAATAACTTCCACCATCTCGCTCTACACAAGCAAACAGGGGGAATGATGGCGACAACAGAGGAATGTAGCGGGACAATGTTCGAACCCATATTTGTCCTTCCGTTGACCCTTAGGATGTTCACATTTTTCCACAAACCTAAACCCAACCTTACAATACGGTAAGGCCCTGCGCAATATTTATAGTAGCGGCAACAGAGGTTGCAGAAGATGCAAAAAGCTCGCGAAAAGTGTGTCTCACCCGAGCTGGCGCGCGTCAAGATCGACCCACTACGTGTAGTCGCCCACACGACAGTACCTGCGCACCTACTGCTGTTCTCACAAAGCGGCTGCTTTACTGCTATACATCTAATGCTGCTGCTCCTGGTGGTACTTCCAACGACCCCTCTTGTATCTACAACGTGGCTCCCACCGCTCGTAGATTTTGGAAGCGTTCTTGATGAGCGAGCGCAAATCTTTCTCGCCTCTCACCGGGACCTTCCTTCTTGTCCTTCAGCCAGAGGCCCTCGAAGATATCTCCTCCAGGGAGGCACAACGACCCGGTCCCGCTCCTCTGCCCGTCCAGCCACCCGCCGTCATATACCTGGGGAGCAAATAACGAGGGCAAGAACATGGCAACATTTTTGGCGGGGCAAACGAGGACCGGTGAAACCAAAGCCTGTGATTTGCTTTTTGGCGTAAAATCATAATCCACCGAAGGTTCAGATAAAAACAAACAAATGAAAATATGGACGAAAAACATAGCGGGAGTAAACTAAACCAAGGGTTTTGCCCACGAACAGGTCTGCTACATAGTTCGACCTAGAGAACCGTCGTAAGGGCCTTACGCACCCACCGCTCCCAGCCCTAGTTAGCCCTCCCTTGGCATGCAATTATGCTGAGTAGAGTACTTGAGCTCGACCACTATCTACCCGTGGTTTCTTCGTGTGTAGTACCAAGCACCGATGACCCAAGCGAGCAAGAACAGCGAAGAAGATATTAAGCTGCACCAGCTTCCAAATGAAAAGCGACCTAGCACCACAAATTTGTGGCGTGTGCAAGGGTTGTAACAGCACCATGGCAGTAGCGCGTCCTTATCTTGCCTCTCCATTGGCGAAAGACAATCTTCCCTGGCCGCTGCGGCGGTTTGCCACCCAGCCCCCCTCGTACCTTCCCCCGTCTGCATAGAAGAAGACGCCCAACCCATCTCGCTGGTCATCTGCAAACCCAACAACAGGACGGCCGTCGAAAACGAACGCCGCTTTGGTGCGTTAGATGATGGCACAACGGCAACGCGATGCCTGCAATCCAGCGTCTTCCATCCATATCAACGGTAGGAAGGTGTTCGAGACGGTACGGCGAAGGAAAAAAACACCTCCACCCCGTATCTGTTGCTTGTGCCGAGAGAGAAGAACAGAATCTAAGGAAAGAAACAAAGGACAAGGAGGGGCTAGAAGTGTACGGAATAGGGTTCAAGGAGTACCTACATGGACCAATGGATGCAGGAACAAAGCTTAAGGTCAAATTCAGGACCGGGGACATAGGCCTTCGAGAACGTCGACGAAGACATAGGACGGTAGACGAGGAAGACGACGAGTTCAAATGTGATTGCGGCTTCGAATGCGAAGACCGTGTTCATGTAGTCGCGGAATGTCCGTTGTACAAGAAGGAGAGGGAAGTGTACGTGACTGAGCTGGGAAAAATAGATGGAACGTACAGGGAGATGTTTGAGGCATGGAATAGAGAAGAAAGGACGGTAGCTGTACAGGGGCATAGGAGGTGGGTTGGAAAGGCGGGAAGGGATATCGGTAGGATAGACAGACTAGGGAAGACATTCTTGAGACACCTTTGGCAAAGTAGAAAGGAACGATTGGCCATCGGTGATCGGTCCTGTGGGAACAATGCTCCGTCCTCTCGAGGACGCGTGGTCAATGGTCTAGCCGCTAAGGCATGCAAAACATAAGAGTACGCCCCCCTCCACCCCGTATCCGCTGGTCACCTTTCCAATCTCCGGCGTACTGTTTGCGTAGCTTGCCGGATTCGTTTACCCAGTAGGTGCCTTTGCCGTGCCTCCGGTCACGTTCCCATTCCTGCCGCAACAGCGTTGTCATGCCGTATGGAGTGTGCACGCACTGCATTTGTTGGATTTTCTGCGGAGTCGAGCAGGGACTACACTGCTGTTGAATGCCAGGAGAAAACTCGGCAAACAAAAATATACACCCGGTCGATCTCCTAGATGACGCGGGCGGCGCTCCTGCCTTCCCTTTG